TCAGATGTCTCTTGTGTTGTTCAGTCTTCTAGTAACACATTGAGGCCATGTTTCTGGAAGGTGTCTGTTGATCTTTGTAGCCTTCGGATGTCCCAGGTTCTCTCTATGCTTGGTATGCCCGTGGTGGTTATGATGAATTAGAAGTGTTGTAGGTCTCCCTGGAGCTGGGCGTTTGGCTGAGTTGGTAGCTGGCTTTGTTTATACTCTAAGTACTGTGAGCTTTTCTGGCTTCCTAGTCTTTTGGCCTCTGTTGTGGGGTTGGGATCTCCCCCTTCCCACAGGAGTGCAGGGTAGTGCCAGAGGGCTGAAATCCTCCCAGCGGAGCAGGCTGCTAGTCCTCTCTCTCAACTTTCAGAACTCTTTGTTTAGTCCAAATAGTCCCTCCCTGAGCAGTGCCTCCCCCCTGCCTGAGGTCCTTTCACAGAGCCCAGCTGTATCTCTTTAACTCCAGTTAAACTTTTACCACAGTTTTTGTGGGTAGATGTGGTAGACCCCTGAGCAAGTCTCCCCGTTTGAGCCACTTCCTAGGGTCTCTCTGTGTTGAATATGCCCATGCAAGATTGTTAAAATTGCTGCATTATCCTAGGGTTGAGCCTGTGGTTGGGTGTCTCCCCCAACCCCCCACCACAGCAGCTTAGGATCCACTCACCTAGCTGTGTTGTTTCAGTTTATATCCAGGGCTTTGTCGGGCCTGCTGGGGCAAAGGTCAGCAAAGAGTATCCTCGGGTCTCTGGTTCTGAGCTGCAGCCTTTTCCCACAATTTGCTTTTCTCTCCCTAGCTGAATTGTCTCAGCCTATCTCCAGGGTTGTAGCAGGTCTGGGACAAAAGGCTACTGAGCAGCCCCAGCTGCTGCTTCAGGCCGTTTCCCTCGGCACTTAGATTTTTAAAGGAGCCGAGTGAGTTGGAAGCCGCTGGTGTTCCCCGATCAGCGTTGCAGGGTTCAGCAAATCCTGCCTGTGCAGCTTCCCTTATGGGAACTCCCCAATCACCAGTTCTTCCTCGGTTATGTTCCTTCTAATGAGTCCAGGGCATTCTCATTTGGGTTGAAACTCGTAGCATGAAAGTCTATAGTCCGTTTTTGTATAATCCCACGTGAGTTTGGATGTAGTCGCCTCGGCGTCTTTATTCTGCCGCCATCTTGCCGGTTCCTGAGCTGGTGGAGCTGCTCAGCGGCTTTGTGCGGCGCCCAGGTGCTCTGGATCGGGTCTGCAGATTCAGCGGTTTTTCCCTCACCCAGGTATTGAGGACCAGAATTTGCAGTCTTTCCGCAGCCTGGGCTCCCCTCACTGAGCTGAGCCGTCCCTCTTCACCTGCAGGGTTTAGTGTGGGGCAAAGCGGCTCCTGCAGCCCGCTGAACTACCAGGCACCTGGGTTTTCATGGTTGGTTCTCTTACCTCCTCCCCCCCCCCCCAAATTTGATGCTAACAAGAGGGGGAGATGTGACTTTGGTAATACTGTTTGTTTTTGGTTTTGTTTGTTTTAATGTGATGTCAGCTGGAACAGTGTTCTAGAAATCACTGGATGACTTCAAAGTGTTCCTATCTGTGGGTGATCTGAGTGTCAAGGAAGTAGTGGTCCCCCCATGCTCTTGAAATATGAGCACAATCATTTGAGTCACCTGTATTGTTTGAAACTTCTCAAGTGCATTGGCTGCTCTGTCACCCTCTCTCGTAGGTGTTTCAGCATGGATCACCGTCAACTTCCTCACAGGTGGGTGTCCTTTCTTATAGAGGGTGGCAAGTCACAGCTGCTGTTCTCAAGAACAAGGGCCTTGTTTCTACCCTTCACAATAACTCCTTGGCATTTCAAAGTGCTACTGGTGTTGGAATGATGGGGATGTCTATCTGGTTCATCAGTGAATGTTAGGGAAGGGAGAGCTTCCCTGTGGCCTACTGTGACAGTCACCCAGGAGTACACAGCCCCTTCTTCCAGCAACATCCCCCCGTGCCCTGTCCTCTCATTCCTTAGAGAAATCATGAGTGAAACTAGCCAGGTCTTCAAATACTGAATGGCTGCATTCCTCTGCTTGGTAAAATGGGGGCAGAAACACCTATTCTTGGAAACAAAGCAAGGAGGCTTTTCTCCTTAGCTTATTCTCTGTACATGTGGATTTTTTGTCACTTTATTATATTTATAGAAAAGAATTATGTCTGACACGTGTATGAAAAAGAAGTTTCCTGGCAGAACTTGCCCACTGGGAATAAGGGACCATATTAGGGGTCAGATCAGGAGGGGGACATGAAGAAATAGCAGAGAAGTTGGTGATGCCCTTCCTGTAGGTGCAGTCAGCCAACATCTCTGTGCAAGGTCAGTGTTGTTGTTCAGATTGAAACCAAGCCACCAGAGCCTTTGTTCTTTCCTTTAGATATTTAGTGCATCCTTAAATGAGTATTTTTAAACAGCTACGTCTACACATCTCTTGTTTATCTTTCCACTTAAGGACCTGGTTTCTAACCTCTCTTCATTTTTCCTACTCTTCCCACTCATCTTTTTATTGTGAGGTTTTTATTTTGCCCTCCAGGCAGTCTGAAAAACCCAGGAAGGAGCAGTGTGGGCATGCTGGATTTGGGCGGAGGATCCACTCAAATCACCTTCCTTCCAAGAGTTGAGGTAACCTATCCCTGCCCACCTACCACAGTGCTTGCCCCTCCAAGGCCACCTGCCTGGTGCTTAAGGGAAGACCCCCCACTAACCTCTGAATCAGTGAGGTCAGTTCCTTTCCTAAAGATCAGATTTATTCATCTAATGCATGTTTCTTTTATTTTAACTCTGCTTGGAAGATAAGGAAGTTTGGTCTTCACTAGGGTGATAAATGAAATGACCGAGAGCCCTTTGGGACACAGAATATGAAGTGGGCCTATAATTAGTCTGACTCACAGGTAGGACAGATCTTCTCAAGAGAGGGGCCTCCGTGGTGGCCTGGGTGTTAAGTCTCAGCCAAGGACTTACTTTATGATTTGAGTTCAGTCCCCAGCCACCAGGGATGTGACCCACATAGTACACTGAGCTCTCCTGTCTTGCCCCACAGCACCCCTTAGCAATGTATTTCAGTAAATTTGCCTATTCTGCTCCCCAGTCTGTCTCTGGTGAACCCTCTCACACCCTGCACCTCTGGCCTATATACCTCAGTTCTTCTACTCAAAAAAAAAAAAAAAAAAAAAACCTCAGGGCCCTCTCTGGTGGCGCAGCGGGTTAAAGCACAATACTGCGAAGCTAAAGCCACTTCCGCATGAGTTCGATTCCTACCCGCCCCGGAGGAGATCCACATGGCGTGGCAGACCTCTCCTGACCC